TTTTTAAAACAATAGCACTGGGCCTCTTCAGATCAAGCATTTATTTTAAAAAGCTTCTTCATTTTGTTAAATTGTCTAAAATAATAAAACAGTCTTAAAAAAATAAGTTTAATAATTTGAACATTCTCTATGCATTTATAGTTGTTGATTTACCTCCTTGCAGCAAACAGCCTGATTAGCACAAGAATTTTTTTCCCTCCCAGCAATTTGCCTCCTGGAGCAAACAGCAAGTTTTACTTTCAATTTCTCCCCATCATCAGCTCCCCATACATTCAGTGTATAAGACACACCCAAATTTTCACCCTCTTTTTTGGGGGGGGGAAAGGTGGGGTACCCCATACAGGTGTTTTGCCATGTCCTCCTTTGGACTTTTTCCATAACCATTTCTCACCCTCTATTGTCTTTTGTTACCTGCACCTTTTGGCGGGTTTCCTCATATTCATCATCTGGTTGCTGCTGCAGCCCCTTTTGGTTTCTCAGTTGTTGAAGCTCCTGAATCATAAGTAGGCAGGGAGAATGTCATGAAAGAAAACAGAGAAGCTATGTTAAAACAAAATCGAGCGTGAAAAATGTAATTTGTACTTCCACAATTTATTTTTGGAAACAGGGCAGATTAAACTTTCAGATGAAATGGAACATTTCTGGACTATCATCTCCAAATCATGGCTGCTCCCTTCAGTTCTTGGCATTGATGATCAGGTACGGAGCTTGCAAACGGAGGAGGAGGAGGTAGGAAAAAATCCTGCTCAATAGAATATTCACATAATAAAGGTAATGGGGGGTCTTTTCATGGTCCAGATGTTGTGTGAGCTTTCTAATCCATTCAAGTCGCGAGGGTGTAGTTTTAACCTCAAGGTATTTTGTTCAAAGGAAACAGATGCCATAAACCGAGAAGACGAGCTACATTTACAAATATCTGTATCTTCTCAAAAAATCCTAACGAATTAACCTAGCAATCATGAGAGCATTAAGGGACGATTCCCTGCAAACTGCATCAGATTCCCTACAAACTGCATCTGTCACTCTTGCAGATGACACGTGAATGGAGGACTTGGATGGAGTGATACGTTTTTTTGCAATAGTGACAAACATCTATAGTTCGGTGTAGGATGAGGGTGAAGGTTTGTTCTCTGAGCTCGTGAGTTGGTTTCCGAATGTTTCGTTACCAGACTAGGTAACATCTTCAGTGGAGTTTAGGGAATGTCGGTGTCAGTGTTCTTCTGTTTACAAGGGCTTCAGGTGTGTGTGTGTCAAAGGAGGGTCTTGTGATGGATCAGGTGTGAATAATCAGCCTTGTGATAGGGAGGTTACATCAGGTCAGGGTCATTGGGAGATGAACTGCTAGTGATGGTGGTGGGAGTTACGTGGATTAGTTGAGGGTCGGTGCCATCTCAGGTTGGCTGTGTGGTTGACACTGCCAGAAAACCTGATGGAGCAATTAGAAAGCAGGTTATCCTAGGGGGAAAAAATTTCAGCTGTTCACTAGCAGTTGACACTGATGTAATGGAACATTGTTGTGGCCCAGCAGGAGCTGTTGGAGCTGCAAACAGACTCTGATAGCGAGGGGCCGTATGAGTCGGCTCTGGAAGATGTGGAGGACTCAGGACAGGATTCAGACTCCGAGCAGGGACCAGAGAGGCTGGTTGATCACCAGGAGGCGCCTGAGGCATGGAGCAGCGGTGAAAGCCAAAGGGAGTGTGCCCATGACGTCAGGCCCTGGATCAATGGTGAAGACGTCAGGCCTTTGAACAGTGATGAGGTTCAGAGGGAATTGGTCCCAGACGCCTGGCAGAGGTGGACAGGTAAATGCCAGCAGCAATTAAAGAGACAAAGGAGATAATTGGACCTAGGTGGTTGTGATTAGGCCCTTCCCAAGAGAGTATATAGGGAGAGACTTTGGGAGGAGGCTGTTTGCAGGATTCAACTAATATACTAANTCTCAGAGAGTCAAGGACACCTTGCCCTGCACCTGGAGTGGTGTGACTGGGAGGAATCTCCAGTTGGGACGGTGCCTGATTGGATCATGTGATGGACATGTGGGTGCTGGACAAGGACTTGAACTTTCACTTGGGTGGGGAAAACCTAGAAGCTTTCAGATTCGGGTTTTCCCAGATGTGCCAATATGACATCTCTAATAAAGTGGAGCTTTGAGGAAACTCAACCCTTGGAGTCTTCTTTCGTTGGGGGTGTTACTTGGATGCCTGACATTAACCTGAATCCTCTTTAACAACTCTACCAGCTCCCACGAACTACGGGGTGCTGTCCGGGGTCCTGAGCCCCAAGTGTCAACCTGATCCTGGGCGGCTCGAAGACTCAGGGAAAATGAAGGAGAAAAAAAATGACAGAGGGGTTCTCTATACCCTCAGAATCACCTGAATTAGAGTGCAAACGGGTGTGTGGAACCTTCTTGGAACTGCTGAAAGTGTTGAGTGCTTGCTTTTCTGGCACAGATGTTGTAGGTCAGGGGTCTCCAACCTTGACAACTTTACGACTTGTGAATTACAGACTCCCAGAATTCGTCAGCCAGTCCACAAGTTGTAAAGTTGCCAAGGTTGGAGACCCCTGTCATAGGTGAAGCGGGAGCAGAATCCAAAAAATCGGGGACATGATCACCAGCATCTGGACAGAGCAGCATTATTGTCAAAGCTGGACATCTGGACAGCCATTTCTCAAGCTCCCTTCCTTTCTAGCCAGCAGCAGCAGCAGAGAGACAAGCAGTTTAAGAGAGATGTTTGGAATTGTCCCCAGTCATTCACGTTGCAAAAAATAGTCAGTTAACAGCCTTTCACAAGCCAAGAACAAAACTTTGAATAAGGAGCCAAGAGACTGTATGCTGGAACCAAAACTTGGCAAACTTGCTGAGAAAACGGGTTAGGGTTAGGGTGAACACACGGAGGGAACCCTTATCACTCTAAGATAATAGACAAACAGGACTGGCTCCGACCGAAAATGAACAAGAAAATAATCCCAAGGAAGGAAGATTGAAAGGACTGAGAGACTAACCAAGTTACAGGCTTTATACGATGGTGGTGAATGTTAAGGGCTGATTTACAGAAAGGCACAGTGGGGGGGGGGGGTTCTGCCATCCTTTCTAGTGGGGGGCAAAATGGGGTATGTGATCCCTCACTGGTTTGCAATCGTTGAGTGCCTTCTTCAGCTGCTACATCCTTTCATGAATAATTGAACAATTCACTTTCTCAGCGGATTCATCCTTTCCCCTCCCCTCCCCTCCATAGGTCCATCTCTGCTGCCTGGACCATCAGAAGGAGGCCCATCAGAGGGAGACAGGATGGCTTTCCTGAGAAAGGGCTTGTTTGTCAAGCTATGATTTTGGTCCCAGTAATACAGAGCGTCCCCTTTCAGTGAAAATCCTCCTTTGCATTGAAAGCTCCTTTCCATTCAGGACTGGCTGTAACAAGGAAAGGAGAGCTCCTCCAGCGACAGAGCTGTGGGGCATATAGAGTGGCTTGAAATAGCCCTGCTGCATGATTTGACCCCCGTGCCCCTAATCTAGCAGAGCTCAGCCTTTCCGCAGCTAGGACACTTAAAACAACCACTTTGCAGGGGTTACTTTTCTTTTGTTCTTTTACCAAGTGAGTTTTTTTTTTTCTCGTGTGTTAAGAGCATCACTGATCCCTTTTCTGATGAAAATCAGGACATCTCCATGGACTGCCAACCCTGCAAAGGGCCCATTCTTGTCCTGAACCATCTTGGTGACTTCAAGGACAGTAGAAGGAGCTGCGCCTATTTTTTTGCCATCGCAGATCTTGCTAAAATGCCGAGACGCCATCCAAGTGGAAGGAAAGTGTTAAAAGAAGTTGCAAAAGAAAAGACCTGCATGTTACCTGTTCCTTCCCTTCATCACCGAGCTATAAGCTTGCCATGAGTGGGGTTTCAATTTACCTGGGTATGTACAGGTACGCTGGGGAGGTTATTCCAAATTCTATCACAATCAGCTCTATAGTGTTAAGCAAGAGCGGCTGAGAGCAAACATTCCAGTACTTTTGCACTATAAGACGCACTGGAGCATAAGACGCACATTAACTTTAGAGGAGGAAAACAAGAAAAAAAATTCTGCCTCTGCCTCCCAGCATCCATCCGGTATTCATCTGGCTAGTGTCCTTGCAGCAAACAGCAAACAGCCTGGTCAACTTCAGAATGTTATTGCAGCCCTAGCAGGTGACTTGTCAGCTGAGCTGAGCTGCTGCCGGCAAACACTGAAGCCTTCGCTGCTGAGCAGCTGATTGGCAGTTGGATCAGCCTCCCGAAATACTGCCCATCAGCTGGTGCAAATAAGAAGCACAGACATTTCCACTCACTTGGGGGAGTGGGGTGGGAGAGCTTCTTATAGTGTGGAAAATTATGGTAATTTTCTGCCATGAAAAAAAAAGGCAAGAAAATGTGAGACTTCTTACCATCTTATTAACACTCCACCAAACATGAATCAGGGTCTTTAAGGACAATCCACAGGTTTAAATGTATTCTTAAACTTTGAATTCTGAGTCCAGCTGTTTAAATGTAATTATGATGGTATCTACTTTTTCTACTAATAATAGGAAGGTGGCAACATGAAGTATTCTACTTCCAGCCTTGGACCGATAAATCCATTATTCAACCTGCGACCTTTTGCAGATTTCACTGGGAATCCCTTAATTTCTCTCTCTCTCTCTCTCTCAATATGTAATCAGATTCCAAATGAAGTCTTAGTTAGTGGAGTTAGCTGACTTTGAAAGATTACGAACAAATGTTATGTACAGTACATTAGACATTAACTAGACTCTCCAGTCTGGAAGTAATGTACCTTATTACTGATTTCCAGGGACAAACTGCAAAGCCCCATCTCCCCCTTATAAGCTGTTCAGCCAACGCTGGAGACAATGATGCTGAGTGCAACGGGCAAGAGAGATCCAACGAGATTCTTCTTATGTTCTTACTCTTATGCTAAAAATCAAAAGACGCTAGAATCTTACAATGGAAAGTTAAATTTAGAACAAAGCATGTCAGCCTCCCTGCGGGATTTCACTTTGCCTGTTGCAACTGCGAAGGAATTCAAGAGACTCACACAAAGGTTTTGTCCATACAAATCACTTCTTGGGTTATTATTCCAACCACATAGCACTAAACCAAAGTGAGAGAAAAATATCAATAAAAAACTTTCACTAACAACGTTATTAACCATGTTATCAAACTGCAAACAGTACCCAAATGAGCAGAAGAACCATATTGTAATTAAGCCCAGAGACTTGGGCTCTTGAGAGGTGGGGATTGATGGGGGGAGAGATGGAGAGCAGAGTGGGATTTGCATTTGTTCCCTTTTCACATCTCTGAAAGCAATGCTCAGCTCATTCCAAGGGATCTTTTAACAAGCTTCTGCAGCTGCTGCTACCTTTTCAGAAGCATGCTGGATTCTCAAAGGCCCTTATGTCTCATACTCAGATGTAGACTATTTGTCATGGCTAACCCAGTCATCTCCTTCCCTGGCCAGCTGCCTG